TGTATGACCCCCGGCTGGCTCGGCTGCTGGGACGTAACAACGCCGACGCCCGCTACTCCCACAACCCCACCGGGCGCAGATGAGGACGATGCGGCGGCGTGGTCAGCTGGGATGATGGATGGAGAGAGCGAAAGTGATGACTCGGAGGCTTGGGCGGAAGGCCTGAGGGATGGGGATGATCGGTTATAGAACTAGTGGATGTGGTGGTAAAGAGACGGAGGAGAAGACTGTATAGTGTATCTGATGTGTAATGATAAGAGTTTTGGGCATAGAATCGGCTTGCGGGTGTTGAATTGGTTCCGTCTTCCATGATAAGGGTGCATTTGGCGAGGCTGAACTTGCATGCTGGGCGAGCAGTCTCGATTACCCGCTCAACTGCAACCTGTCGATGCAACCTGTCGATGTAAGAAAAGTTGCCTCTCGATCTAATAATTCCCCGAACAGAGGGCGTCGGAACTGTCTGGAAGCCATTGATTTGAAAAGGAGATTCTCTAACGCCCAGAAATACACAAAGCTTCAAATCCCACCTTCGCCATGAACGCCCAGAAATACGCGAAGTTTCAATCCCATCATCCCTATGCCAATATCCCTAACTACCGAGGAAGTATAGCGGCTAAGTTACTCTTACACCCCGCTACGAATAATGGAGTACGTCCCTCAAGACTGCCCTTAAACATCTGCACAGGTAAAGCCCTGCCCGATAACCTATCCAATCCCAAATGATAAACCCGAACAATCCCCCCCTCCATAAACCTATCCGATACTGAATGTCCGGCACCATCCAAAAGTTGTACTTCTATCACCAAAAACAAGCACTATTCACTGGCGCCATCCGCGTAATATACCCGAGTATGGGGTAAAGCAACAGAAAGCCCCAACAGCCACAACTCGTGCCACCAGACCACGGTTATAGTGCTTCCCGTATTCAAGGTCACCTTGACTTGGATGGCATTCGCCGACATGGCTTCATTGAGGGGTACAATTCTGGGTTATAAAACCGGAGCTCCTTCAAAGGGGGGCGGATCTGGCAGTACGAGTACACCTTGGAAAACATCAGATAAAAAGGAAAAAGAAAGAAAAAGCTCATACATCCGCCGTCGGCATCCGGGGGTGAGCCAGATAGGAGGCCGTCGGCACCTGAGGAGCTTGCATCCCGCCGAGGCTCTGGTTCTAAATGGGCATTAGCACCTTCGCGTTGTGGATAAAGCCCGAACAGTTGACGGATATGCATACCTTGAGCCAGAGGTGGCTTTTAGAGAGGAAGGACTCCTGGGGGGTGACGACGAGTCCTTGCTGGACGTAGACGATTTTAGAGCGGAGAAGGGTATCGTGGCAAAGGTCGCTGTGACAAAGTCCCTGAGCCTTGGTTCGATTTCTTCCCGACTGTCGCGCCAGTTTTCAGGACTGTCCACTGGCTCAAAAGGGTATTCTTCCAAGAACTGGGCGAGTACAGGCTTGAACAAATTCGGTTTGTACGGTACGCCTGACTGTTTGTAATGCTGCCAACTGAAATCCTAGCTGGATATACTCCTCTAAGAGTTGCATGGAAGAGATTGTTCAGTCCGTCTTGAAGGATGGGACTGAAGCTTAGTTGTGTGGTGCTTGACGGCGCCGCCCGAAAGGGTGTTCGGTACTGTTGTCCTGGGGCAACGTATGCCGAACTGCAGTGCCAATGTGCAAACCTTGGGTCTACACCAAAGGGAACCCTCCTGGTAGAGCCGTATAACAGCACGTAGGTTTTTAGCCTACGGCTGATATAGCGGCTCTAGTAGGAGAGCTATCAGTTGCCGCACCCGCTCCTCAGGTGTGACCCCGAGATAGGCGGTGGGCTAGAGTAGTACTACCATCTCCTCCGGGCTCGCGTCACCCACGTACCCTAAGGGTAAGCCCTATGCAGAGGCGATCGTCCTGCCATCAAAGTACATCGGCGAGGCGGGAGGGGGAGGGTGAGGGGGCGCTAGGAGGTGCTACGGTAAGGGCTGTCCTTCTGTGAACATAGGCTAGCCGAGAATAGACTTGTAAAGTCGGTGAAATACCTAGCGGCATAAAGGGGCCGGAAAAGGCGGTAGCAGGGAGACCGGGACAGGTGGTAGGAAAGGAACCGGGAGAGGTGGCGGCGGAAGGACCCATACCGGCGGAGATGGTATGGGGATGCTGTGAGAGCTGGGGACGGGGCGAGGGGGATGCGGAGGCTGCGTTTGCAGACGCGGTGCGTGTGTTGGGAGGTCGCAAAGGACATGCGTGTGCTGGAAAAGGTGGGTGGATGAATGGAGGACTGGGGCGAGGATGCGTGTCGAAGAGTGGAGGGGAGAGGGTATTTATGGAGGATGTCGACAACAAGCGGGGTCTTCACGAGCCGACTTGCAAGGTATGGAGAGGGAGGTATTGATATAGAACAAGGCTCATTGGTACGTGTATACAATATGGTTATTGTGAAAGAGTTGATGAAAGACGAGGAGATGGAGAGAGTCAGAGACTCTTGAGGTTTAAATAAACGATGCCAGGTATCCTCCTTTGCTCCTTCCTTCCATCATACTCGCATTACATCATGATCTCGCTTACATAAGAATGTTCCTTCCATAACCACATCAGGTATAGTCATGTAAGCAGGGTAGTTACGGGGCCAGCTGAGAAATATGGAGGGCGGTAAGGTGGTGTCAGCAGGGTAATTGTGGGCCAGTTGAGAAGGTATGGAGGTGTGGTAGCAGCTGCAGAGCAAGGTGCGGTGCACTCGCGATTTATACGTTGGTATTGGGGGAAAGTCTCCAATTCTCCTGCAGCTCAAGCAAATCAGAACGTCCACTGACTGCCGATCAGCACCCCGCATAATCCCGACGAGCTGGGTGCTAAGGCGGACCGGGCCGTCCCATTGATGCCACCGCTTGGCCGCCATCGCGTTGTGCATGTTCAAGCCTTCAACCTGTGCAACTGGGCTTGACTCGAAGTTCTGAGCCGTGCAAGTCATCGGAGCTTACGTGCTTCGCTGCGAGTCAGCGCATCCGTACTGCGGGGAAGGAGCGATGCTAGTGCTGGACCCAGAGCGTCGTTCCTTCCCTCAGTTTCGCCCGGGGACGAAGCCATTGACCAATAGACATTCACGGGACTGCTCGCTTAATCGAATGACCCCATCTCCCTCGCACTTCTCCTCCACTTCTTTTCATCAACACACACCATCTTTTTATATCACCTACTATACTCTTCCTCTGCTATATACTCACTCATTCATTTGCGACGGCTAAAACCCACCAGTCAGATGTGTCTGGGGAGCTACCAGATTGGTCGGTTGACGCCGGTGCAGTTCGCGGCTGAGAAGGCTCGCTTTGAGTCGACACCGAACAGTTGGCGGCTATCATTGCTGCGAAAGTGCGCACGCTGGTTGGGATCCGCCTCCATATCCACCGGCAGTCTGGGCATACATCAGCAACATCCGATGTCATTATATAGAGCCTGACCTCAGGGTCATCGTGGGACTGAGTGCCAGGCTCAACGTACAATCTCCTTCGAACATATGGAAGTCGGGCTTCAATTGGGCTGACGACCCGGCGATGGATATATACGCGCAAGTACGTTCCACAACCATTATTGGCCGACGTGAAGCTGACCACTATAGTTTGCGCACGCACGAGTGACGTCTCTTGCATCAAAGTACTTTGTGTGTACCTAGCAGGCCACGAGACACTCTCAGACATCAAGCAAGGGTCCGCTCTCCTTAATTTGAAGAAGCCGAAGAGGGTATGTCGTCCTAGCAGATGATTTGACATCCACATCTAACCTGCTACAGCAAAGACCGACCAAATATCGTCGTTGTATACAAACTTAGCGATATGACCGAGCGGCAGACCAACCCTTCTGAAGGCTAGAAGTGCGGAGGCCCAGTCATGAAAATCTGGGAAGACGCAATTCGTCAGTGGAACTTCGACAAGATAACCCGGAAGCCTCAGTTCCGTTGGGCAAAGGTTGGCATCGACTCAAAGGTTAGGATGCTCACCTATGCCACTACCAGGGCGCCATGGCTTGCGTACTTCAAAGAGAACGGAGTCTCCGTGTTGTTTCTGACCTGTATAGTCAACTCTCGGATCGATGTTGCAGAGGATTGACGCGCCTGTGCGCAGGGGGAAGGTAGCGAGTATGTGGGCGATGAATCAGATACTTCAGATGCTGCTCCTAGTTCTAGTCAGAATCTGAGGAGGTCGCTTCTAATGCCGCTGGTTGAGTGTTGTGATCATCTTCGAGCTTGCAAATTACATTAAATCCTCTGCTTTCGCGCGACGTAGTTTACTAGAGATCTCCAATCCAACCGATATTTGCATTCCAATGTTTCTCAGCTGTTCTGACCATTAAATCTCACGTGAATGTTCATCAAGTATCGTGATGTCGGCAAAGGACGGCGCTGACCGCTTACCGCTTTTCTCACTACCATCTGCACCGCATTGGCCCTCTCTCTCTGCAACGAAGAACGAATCTTCAAGCACTTGGACCCCGTGTATCCGCAAAGCAACCTCAGACTGCGTGCTGTCCCACCGATACCCGAGGTCACGCTGGCGGGCAGACCATACTCCATATACGGCTTCTCACGCGACTCATTTATGATCGGATCGCTGAATGCGCGGATATCCTTTCTAATGTGAAACGTGCAAGTTCCCGCACGCTGGGATTTTCTTAATAGCACGAAGACAACTGGAATCGGCCAAATGCTGTGATTCATGTCGAGAGGGATTGCACTCCGACCACCGGCAACGGTGGTCCGTGCCCACCCTGCTTCGTCCTTCAGCCTTGCAGATTTTCTTCAGGTGAGTTCGATAGTCCGGCACGGTACAGCATGCGCAGCCCATTGGCTAAGGGCTTCCGCACCTTGCATCTGGGAACCTTGACCGCCTCTTGTTCATGCCGGGGGCCCAATGATGCATCAATTCCCCGAAAATCTTCGACAAAGCGGAACAACAGGTGGAGGCAATGGTTGCCATTCAACAATTACAAACGCCTGCAAAAGTTTACCCAAAGGCAGTGTGCCAGAGTGGTTAATGGGTATGACTCGAATCATCGTTATCATATGGCTTCGGCCGCACAGGTTCGAGTCCTGTCACTGTCGGTTCAATCATTTTTTCTTCTCGGTCTACGTGCATCCCAGCTGCGTCTCTTTTTGCTAAGCTCATGGGGCTCGAAGGGACGTTGGTTCGGATGTATCTTTTTCTTTCGCCGAGTCTGCCAGGCTGTCCTCAACTGGAGGTCAATGGCGACAAGCGGGCTGGGTCTTCTAAGTCATTGAGGCAGCTTTACGCCGTCGAAGATCAGCAGTTCGGACTATCTTGTTGCCAACGGCGCCGCCAGACGCTTCGATGAGGAATAGCTAGGGCTCACTAGGCCTAGTGCCTCATAACCCTTTTTCAGACATGCACAATCACATACGGCCATAGGTCACAGACATATACCTGTGTCCCCGGGCAAATAGCCGCCAAATCCGGCGGTTTGTAACGGCTTTTCTAGCTTCAGATTTCCCCAATGCAGGCTTCCAAGAAGTCCGGCGCTTAGAGTGCTCGGTATCCCTGTTTGATGGCTAGCAAATTCCAGCAGACGAATTATATGAATTAGAAAATCTAAAAAGCGGCTTACCCAGCATCGAGAATCAGCCCTCCGCTACTTTGTCTAGCTTCCGCCTCGTGCCCTTCTTGGGTCTCTCCATCGCTGCCGCCTCAATGCGTCCTCCCGCATGCCGCTTTTTCGTCTGGCCCACCCCTTCATCTCGCCCACCCCTTCGTCTCGCCCGCGCCTTCGTCTTGCCCACTTCTTCATCTCGCTTTACCCCTTGCCTCGCCTACCTTTTCGCCTGATCTCACCCTAGCAGCCACGCTGCCCGAGCACAGACTGCCTACTTGGCTCGCGTGGGGCATTGAGGCGGGCGTGTCGGGCGCGCTGGCGGATGAGGACGGGAGCGTACGAGGGCTTGTTGCTGGGCGTTAAGTTGATTGGCGACCGTAATGTACCGCACGGGCAGCACACGTTCGTGGCGCCAGATATTGGGAGCGTGAATTTCGTGCGGGGTGCGCGGGAGGGGCCGTTTCGGGGGGAGGGGCAGCGTGCTGGTCAGCAGGGAGGTGGCGTCGGTGATTAGGCTGGCTTCCGAGGGGGAGCCAGTGCCATGGACAAAGCCACGGTGGGTCAGGGTTAGGACGTAGGTGAGTATGGGTTCTGCGGGCGCTTAGACGAAAAGTGGGAGTAGTGAGGTGCGAGGGTCACGAACTGGCGGAGGTTTCGGCGGTGCTGCGGGGGGGTCGGGAACTGCGGGTAGTTTTGCTTGCGACCACCGGATGAGTTGCTGCAGCTGCAGCTGGTAGTAGACTGGTAGTAGTAGAGGTTATCCGTTTGGCCGCAGGAGGGGCTGTGCGGGAGAGGTTGCTAGAAGGGTGGCTGCGTGTAGGTGCGGGGGGGCGGTGGGGTAGTTGCCGGTGAAGGTTTGCACACTGGGAGCGATACGCTGATACGTAAGGCTTTGCGCGGCGCGACTTGCTGCGAGTATGCCTAGGTGATTTCCGATAGCCCATCCGACGAGGGGAGAGCTGGGTGCGGTTTATTCGCAAACGAAGAGGTAGTAGAATGGGGTACTTGCTAGGCAGGGAATGCGATGGATACGGCCACATGGGGCCGCTTGATGGACGGGAGGAGCCGCTAGGGTAGTTCGAGGGGAAGCTAGGCGCTGTCTAGCACTTCAACCTTTTACCATTGTTGGCCTGTTGACGACAAGTTGTGGAGTTGTAGATGGACAGTCGTTTCTCCTCGATGGGGATGAGGCCTTTCCTTCGCAGTTGGAACGGCCGCACGCTCCTGCGGGCTCAATTGTTCCGCGGTACTGTGTTTCTCGAGTCCCGCGCTGACGACACGATACAACATGACTGATACGATGTCGTCTGCTCAACTCCAATCGAGCCTTTAATCCAGCACCAGGACGCTTGCTGACACCCATCTCACACATTATCCGGCCACCTCTTCCACAGAATCAACTACGAATCTCCTCCATCAGAACAGTCTGTACGCCCCGTCTGTCCCTCACTGCGCTGCCAAACTCCCGCGCAAAACCATGACCGCCACACCGGCATCCTCCCGAGCCTGTTTATGCTCGAGCCCTGGTCAGTCTCGATATCCCGTACAGCACCTATGACGCGGGCATAGACGACGCAAGCAGCGTGGGCGGTGCAACATGGATGAACAACCGGGTATGTCTTCCAGCGAAGTCTTCGTCTATGAACTGATCAGTTGGTAGGAGAACTTGATGCCCCGTGGCATGTGGCTGTGTCTCCTCCCATCTCGTCCTCCCCTCCGCGCCCGACAGCTCACAGCCCCATTCTTGGCATTCTGCCCCGCAGTTGAGCTCAGCTCGAAGCCCCAAAGCCTCGCCGTTAACCTCCAGTTCCACTCCTGCATTTTCACAAGTCCCCAATTTCTTGACTAGCATCATTATTTCCAAGATGCCACCTGCAAAGCGGATCCGGACACGGGGCCGCTTCCATGCCTCTTCCAGTCTTTCACGACCCTCCTCACCTGTTGCTGGTGAGACCACCACACCTGCCCCCGCGAGCAACGTCAGCCAGACCTCAACCTTACCACTTGCCCTCCAGAGAGCCACCAACAGAAAGCCAACCCGCCGACTTCGTCACGAAGACTACACAATAGGGTGGATTTGCGCGCTCCCGATTGAACTTGCAGCAGCCCAGGAGATGCTCGATGAAGAGCATCAACCTCTCCCCCAGGACGCGTCCGATCCCAATAGCTACACACTCGGCTGCGTTGGCGGACACAATACTGTCATCATGGTCTTGGGGCTGACGGGCACAAACTCGGCGGCCTCGGCGGTTGCTCAAATGCAGTCAACCTTCACTTCCGTTCAACTCGGCGTCATGGTCGGCATCGGAGGCGGTGTGCCGAGCGCAATAGCCGACATCCGGCTTGGGGACGTTGTCGTTTGCCAGCCGTCCAAGGATTGTGGCGGAGTGATCCAGTACGACTTGGGCAAGACCAGGCCGGACGGGGTTGAACGAACTGGATTTCTGAACGCGCCCCCAATGGCCTTGCTGAGCGCGGTGGCGAGTCTGAAGGCCAGCCATCTGAAAGGAAGAGTTGGTTTCCTAGATTATCTTGCAAGGCTCAGCAACCAGTCTCTTTTCGCTCGCGACAAGGCTGGGCCCGATGTCCTATACGACCCTGTGTACAACCATGAGGAGGGAGAGGAAAACTGCAACAATTGTAAGAAAGAATATAGC